TAATTGTCTCTAATAAACAATTTATTGGTCAAAATAAGTATGTCAGAAGATAAGATATGGGCTATAAAAAAATTAATCAATTTGCTGGCATAAATAAACATGTCAGAAGATAAGGCATGGTTGTGACACACTTATAAATTTGATACGTCAATTAATGTGTCAGAAAATAATATATGGACCATGAATGACAACTTTATGCAATAATTATCAATAATAATCAATTTGTTGGTCAAAATAAATATGTCAGAAGATAAGATATGAGCTATGAAACGTTAATCAATTTACTGGCACAAATAAACATGTCAGAAGATAAGACATGGGCTGCGGCACACTTATCAATTTGATAACTCAACTAATGTGTCAGAAAATAATGTATGGGCCATGAATGCCAACTATATTTATTAATTGTCTATAATAATGCATGGGTCAATATACATATACGTTAATGTCTATATATTCAAAGAAAACTTATATATTTTTTTTCATTCTACAAATCATGGTTACACACTTTAAATTCAACTAGAATCCTCAAAAAAATGTCTCAAAATTCATATAGATTCGAGTCTGATTCATTATCATCCACCGACAATGACGATGGTGATGACATTAATGATTTAGAAGTTGAAATGATTTCATCAATCGTTCAACGAAGCCATGAGTTACTTCAAGCATATCAACACGAAATTGAAGTTCGTAAAAGACGAAGGATCATCCAGAGAAATCGAGAAGTTGGGCACGACACACTTGTAAGTGATTATTTTTCTGAGCATCCACTCTACCCGGGTCATATATTTCGTAGACGTTTCTGTATGCGAAGAGAAATTATTTCTTCGAATTGTGAATGCACTTCAGACACGATCATCATATTTCCTGCAAAACATTGATGCAGTAGGAAGACATAATTTGTCACCATCTAAAAAATGCACAACAACTATTTGTCAGTTAGTTTATGGAGCTCCAGCTGACCACCTTGATGAGTATTTATGTATGTGTGAGTCAACTGCTATCAAATGTCTTTTTAAATTTTGTGAAAGTGTGGTTCAAATTTTTGGTGGTGTATATTTGAGAAGACCGAACACTAGTGATGTTCAAAGACTCCTCCAAATGCATGAAGAAAATCAAGGTTTTCCGGGTATGCTTGGAAACCTTGATTGTGTGCACTAGTAATGAAAAAATTATCCAGTTACTTGGAAAGGCTAATTCACAAGAGGGTATGACTCTCCTACGATTGTCCTTGAAACGGTTGCTTCACACAATTTATGGATATGACATTTTGGTGTTGCAGAATCACGTAAGGATATCAATGTATTATATGAATCTCCTCTATTTAATAATATATTACAAGAAAATACATCAAACTTTCATTTTATTGTCAATGACACGCAATATGCAAATGGGTATTATCGTACAGATTGGATATATCCAGAATTGACTACGTTCGTAAGGTCTTTTCCTTGCCCGTCAGATCCTAAAATGAAGTTATTTAAAGAAAAACAAGAAGTTGCTCGAAAGGATGTGGAAAGAAATTTGGGGTGCTTCAGTCTCGATGGGCAATTGTAAGAGGTCCTGCTCGGTTTTGGTATAGAAGAAAACTAAAATTTATTATGTTGACATGCATTATTCTACACAATATGACTGTAGAAGATGGAGATTTAACAACATATTGGCACAATGACGAGGATGAAGAGCCCGCACAACCTATCCAGGGCTCAAATCGTGAATTTCAAGATTATATTCGTAGAAGTTCAGAGATACAAGACAATACAATGCATCACCAACTTCGTGCAGACTTAGTTGAACATATTTGGACTCATTTTTCTACCAACTAAATTTTTTTTTTTCTTTTCTACTATTTTTCATTGTAATCTTAATTTATGTTTTTTAAACCTAATAATATTTAGTATATTTTCAGCATTTAAAATTAAGTATTCTAATTCAAAATATACATTTACTTTGATTAAGAATAGAATATAAAAATAATATTGAATGAGTGGGTACTGGGTAATGTGTCCCACAGTTTTGCTATGGAGCCATCGGATAGTTCGACTTATGGCGTCATCCACACTTATTCACCAATAGTGTACTGACACGGGTCCTGAACTAAATACAATTTGGACAAATGTCAATACATTAAGTGGTGGATGACTCCATAAGAAAACCATCCGATGGCTCTAGAATTTTTTGTGTGTCCCATATGTTTGTATTTAAATGAAAGATTGACCGTGGGTGTATGTTTAAATGGAGAGATGCTTAGTGGAGAGATGATGTGGATGAAAGAGAGTGTAAATTGTGATTGAATGAATGTTAAGAGATGTGGCTGCCCTAAGCTGTCTGTATTCAAATAAGATTCGTTTGGTGGGACAAACTTTTCTAAAAAGCTTGAGCTTATTTGATAGGCTTTTTTGGGTAGTTTTTCAAATAAGCTCGTTGAAATTTTTATTTCAACTTACTTATCAGCCAATTTTACCAAACACTTTTATCATATAAGCTAGCTTTTCAGCTATAAATCATAAGCTATAAGCTATAAGTTCAAAAATTACTTATAAGTTATAAGCTAACTTCTCAACTAGTTTTACCAAACATATCCTGAATGTAAAGCAACTCACTTTTTACCACTATTAACTAGGGGTGAGCATGGGTCGGTACGGTTCGGAGATTGAGAAATTTCCAGAACCATACCAAAATTCGGAGATCACAAAATTCGATCTCCGGAACAGTACCGAAAAATCGGGACGGTTCGGTTAAGAGACTTTTATTTTTCGATTTGGTATTCGATACTATCGGAAAGGTTTGGATCAGTATGGTTCGGTTCGGATCTTCGGAGGTTTCTTACGTTTTTAAATTTTTTTTGAATGACTACCTAGTATTTTAATTTTTATATGCTTTAAAAAAACAACATTTATCAATACTTCATCGTATTGAAGATTTTATTTTAAAATCAACTTTAGAAGTAACTCTAAATTTTAGTTATTTAATTATTATATATTTTAAAAAACCAACATTCATCAATATTTTCGATTATTAAAGATTTTATATTGAAATCAGCTTTAGAAGAAACTCTAAATTTTAGTTAAAACTAAATTTTTGCAACGAATATTGAAAATTTAAAATTCAAACAAATATAATATAGTTTTTTCTTTAAAAAATATACTTTAACCTTTCATACATTTTAAAAAGTTTTTTTATAATAGAAAGAAATTAATTGTAGATCAAGTATTACTAAGCATGAAAAGTGAAGTTTAACTGTTATTGCTATATTTTATTTGTATTATATAGAATCAAATTGACATAAAATATATTAATAACACACATCTAGTGTTATAATTCGGTTCTTACTGTCAGTTCTTCAGCTCGGTAAGGTATGAGAAGGTTCGGTTCAGTTCTCGGTATGAATTTTGTGAAATATCTAGAACCGTACCAATTATTTTTTCTGTTCGGTTCGGTTCGGTTCGATTCGGAGAAAGTCAAATAGTCAACAATTATTTTTTAGTTCAGAGAGATTTCGGTTCAGTTTTCGGAACGTTTGGAATTCTCCAAGTCCCGTGCTCAGCCATACTATTAATTGCTATCTAACTTATTTTTATTTGCCTCTTAAATTATGGCCCGCTATTTATTTATGTACTAAAGTGCATCAAGCATTTAATGAAGGCTCCACTTTAGGCCTTTCGAGAGGTGCTTCTTCCAACAAACTCCACACTTTAAATAGTTAAATTCATATTGGTACAAAACTTACTACTTATAGTAGTCAAAGCTAAACCCTAGTTATAATTAATTAATAATTAAAACTTGTTCAATTACTGAATAAGAAACTAATAGCCATGATGTAATGATGTTTACAGTAATTAGATTTTTATTTGCTTTTTTCCCTACAAAGAATCTTGGAAATATGGGAAGGACCAATATTACCACAACAAAGAGTTGGTGGACTGAAACCTTACCTTTTAAATCGTTAATGACTAACATGCAATTAAACTCCACAGTATCATTTGTATATTTTATTGTTTTAAATTTAATTACCGGACGAGGCCGATAGGATCTGAATACCAGATACCTGATATCGGTCTGATATACATACAAAATTTCTAATTTATAATAGTATCGAGTTGTACGAAAAATACAGGGCAAAATATTAAAAATTAACAAATAAAATACCGATCATGAATAAGAATATATATATATAAATTAAAATGGAATTTATTTGTTGACCTAAAAAAAGTAAAACTTGAATTTATATTCTTATATTATCTTATTGAGAAATTGTTACTTATTAAGTATTTTTTTGTTTCATATTTGATATCAAAATTTATATACAATATTACATCTATTACTTCGGTAATACAAACAAACCATATTACGACTTCCGAGTTCAATCCGTAATACCAACTGCATTGCATTCAAACGAATTTCCCTCCTTTTTCTGATTTTCTCTGTGTATTTTAGGGTGTGTTTGGTTCAATGGAGGGGAAGGGAGGGGAGGGATTTTAATGGATGGAAAGGGAGGGGAGGGGAGGTGATGTAAAATAATTTTACCTTGTTTGGAATAATTATTCAGGAGGAGAAGGGAGGAAAAATGGTAAATCTTGTTTGGTTAAAAAATTAAAAAAAAAGGAAAATAAAATTAAAATAACAAATTTACCCTTAATAAAATAAGATAAAAAATTAAAAACAATTAAAAATAGGGACCAAATAGTATTTTCATATCATGTTACAACATTTCCCCTCCAAATCCCTCCACAATTTTGGAGGGGAGGAAAAGTGAGGGAGGGGAGAGAAAATTACTTAAAATTTTCCTCTCCCTCCCCCAAATCCCTCAAACCAAACACTACCTTACAGTGCTCATGCAAATCAATGGAGCAAAAGCTGGCCGCCATCTTGTGCAAATGCTCAACAGCCAAACAACTGAAAGAGACCCATCTTCAAACCCTCATCAATGGCTTCAAAGACAGCAACTTTTTAGCGACCAAGCTCATGTCGCTCTCCACAGGCTCCATTTCCCTCGACTATGCAAACAGGATTTTCCAAGGTTTGTCCTCTCCAAATCTCATCTCCCACAATACTCTGATCAAATGCTCAATAGGGAAATCCCATAAAATCGCAACAATCACGTTCAACAAATTGCGGGAGCTGGGCATTGTCCCCAACAGCTTCACTTTCACTTTTTTGCTCTCATGCTTTGAGTCCCTTCATAAATCGGAATGTGGGCGGGTTGTGCACGGTCATGTTTTGAAGGTCGGATTTGCGTCCAGCTTGTTTGTCGCGAATGCCCTTTTGAATTACCATGCTAAATGTGGTGGGAGCAATTTGGGTTTCGTGCGTATGGTGTTTGATGAAATGCCTGAGAGAGATGTTGTCTCTTGGAACACAATGATCAGGGCTTGTATGAGTCATGGTGAGATGGATATGGCTTTTGGATTATTCGAGTCCATGCCTGAGAAAAACTTAGTGACTTGGAACTCTGTTGTTTCGGGCCTCGCGAAAGTCGGGAACATGGAGTCAGCCAACAAGGTCTTCCAACGCATGCCTGAGAGGAATAGCGTCTCTTGGAATGCCATGTTATCGGGCTACATCAAATCCAACGATTTAAAAAGCGCGCGAGAAATTTTTGACTTGATGCCAGAGAAGAGCGTGGTTTCTTGGACAGCAATGGTTTCGGGCTACGCTTTATCTGGTGATCTTCAGTCGGCAAAAACGATATTCGGCCTGATGCCAGTGAAAAATGTTGTATCTTGGAACACCATGATTTCCGGTTGCGTGAACATCCGCATGTTTGGTGAAGCTCTCGAGTGTTTCCATCGCATGTTGACTGATGGAAAATGCAGGCCCGACCAGACCACACTGATCAGCACGCTCTCGGCTTGCACCCACCTGAACTCGCTTGTGCACGGGAAATGGGTCGAGTCGTACATCACGAAAAATAAATTTGAGCTTTCGGTTTCGTTGGGTAATGCATTGATCGATATGTTTGCAAAATGCGGGGATCTTGAGAATGCGAAAATCATATTTGACAAAATGACTGAGAAATGCGTGATCACTTGGACCACAATGATTTCGGGCATGGCCGTGAATGGGCTCTGCTTGGAAGCCTTGAAACTCTTTGATAAAATGTGTTCAGAAGGTGTAAAGCCGGACGACGTCGTGTTTATTGCGGCCCTTTCAGCTTGCACTCATGGGGGCCTGGTCGAGCAAGGGAAGAGGATATTTGATAAGATGGTGCACGAGTTTGGTATTGAGCCGCGTATAGAGCACTATGGCTGCATGGTCGATATTCTCGGGCGGGCCGGGCGGATAGAGGAAGGTATTACGTTCATGGAGAGTATGCATTTGGAGACGAATCCCGTTATTTGGGCAACTTTATTGTCAGCATGCAGATTTCATGGCAATGAGGAATTATCGGAGGCCCTGATTGGGAAGATATTGAAGCAAGAGCCTAATAATCCTAGTTATTTGAAGCTGATTACGAATTTGAGTGCCTCAGCAGGTCGAATACAAGATGCTTTGAATTTTCGTGTGGCGTCCAGAGATGAGCAGGCCGAGAAAGTGCCGGGATGTAGCTCGATCCAAGTTGGGGACCGTGTTCATGAATTTGTTGCGAGGGATACAAGACATTTCCAAATGAAGGAGGTGTACAGAGCTTTGAGGAGTTTAAATCGGCATTTAAAGTCTTTACAGAGTGTCGGTGTAGAATAAGGTGCGCCATTGATGTTAAGTTTTGGTTACAAGTTAGAAAATGAAGGGTCTTTTCATATATATCTTTGAGGAATTTTTTTTTTTTTTAAAAAAAAAAGAAAACAAAAGAAAGAAAAAAAAGAAATGATGTAATATTCTGAAAGGAAAAGGAAAAAGTAGAAATTAGATGAAGCATCATTTTGAACATAAAAAGTTTTGTAACAGAACCTCTTGATATATTCCATGTCTATACAGTTCCATACAATTTTTTCATTTGTCATGATATAATTTATTGACCTAAGACATTCATGTAATGTTATTCGTATTTTCTGTGGCTAGTTATTCTTTTACAAGAGTAAATAAATTGCACAAATAGATGAGACTCGTGATTATTATGCTTCAAACTTGGCTGGCAGAGGTAGCAAAATGAAAAATTATCAGAGTTTGAGGAGTTACAGAGAAACATAGCTTGACTTAAAGCGTCACGAAAGCTAAATTCAAGTTGCAAAAAATTTACGTCCTTAATAATACAAAAGATCAATTATGATAAAGCACACTTGATATAAGTTTAACTGAAACACATATTAATATTAGGACGGTGCAATACATTTAGTCAAGAAACAGCCTAGAGTCTCTACACTTTCAGTAAACTTATACATCGAACACATTGGCCTAAACCTTTTCATCCATAAAGCTATAGATAGCAACTTTCTACTTATGTGTTGTTGGAAGGTGGAGGACTAATAGATTAAATTATGTAGCCTATTAAGCATCAGTAACTTCTGACTTGGTCATACAAATATAATTCCTATGCAAGTATGCATGAATCTTGGGTGCATGCACACGCAAGCACAAACACACACACACGCACGCATTTATTTATACAGAGTGAGAGTAAGGTGGGAATTTACTGACTAAGTGACAGAATATGGTGAGGAGAAGACACAGGTTTTATTGCCCAAGAAAGTGCAGATAAGAATGTGATCTGGCACATTTACTACAAAGAGAACTTTTTTCTCTTAAAATATCTTTCGAGCCCTATATAAATTGCCTCCTCACCTTCCTTGTTCCTCATCACCAGCACACTTCAAACTCTTGACTCCTTTTTCACCAATCCACAATTGTAAACATGAGCAAAGGAGTTATCCTTCGTCTGACCTTTGGGATTATCGGTATTTCAATTTGCATTAGTTCATTTTTTGAATCATTGCTGTAGTTTTTATATCCACATTTCTTCCTATCTTGCCTTTTTTTCAGCCTTTAAATTTAGTTAAAGTTATATTGAGCTGAGTGGAAGTGCTGCTGTTTTACTACAGGAAATGCTGCTGGTTTGTTTCTCTTCTTATCTCCAGCGTAAGCATTAATTGTTTAGTGACAATAACTTTCAGTTCAATCTAGTCATAAAAGTTGGCATTCGTCATGCGTATATACATATGCTTAAGATATATTCTCATTGTAAATTTTAATTTCTGGAAATTAACCACCATGGCATTTTGTACATAATTACAGTGTTACATTCAAGAGAATCGTGGCTAAAAAATCTACTGAACAATTCTCTGTCATACCTTATATCATGACTTTGCTCAATTGCTTGCTCGCCGCTTGGTAATATTTTCTTCCAAATTTGCGATAACTATGTTTTCCTTTTTTTTATTGAATAAAATTCCGTAGTAATATTTTCTTCTTAAAATTAATAATATATATGTAATACAGGTATGGCCTTCCTTTTATTACAAAAGACAATTATCTATTGACTGCAATAAATGCGGCTGGGATTGTTATCGAGACGACCTATGTGTTTATTTTCTTCATATATTCACCTAAGAAGGAGAAAAGCAGGATTCTGAGGATTCTTGCTTGTGTTATTATCCTCTTCTCGGCCATTGCCTTGGTTTCTATTTTTGCCTTTCACAGAGAGAAGCACAGAAAGTTGATTTGTGGTTTTGCCCTTTCACTATTCTCCATCATAATGTATGCTTCTCCTTTGGCAGTCATGGTAAGATCTTAGTTACCTATGCAATTACTTCACTCAAAACACCTTTTGAAAGGGAAAAAAAAAATACGCCAGGCAAAAAAGTTTTTCATTATCTACTTTATTTTGCGGTTGTGGTAGCTGTGATAATTGTTGAATTTCCTGATTAGTATGAGTTTTATTTGTTTTCACTAATGTAGAATATTTGTGGACATGGTATAACTGACTTTGGGGAATTTTTTGCAGAAGGTGGTGATTAAGACCAAGAGTGTGGAGTATATGCCCTTCTTACTTTCACTGTTTGTGTTCCTGAGTGCTACTTGTTGGCTTATCTATGGATTAATCGGGAAGGACATTTTTATTCTTGTAAGTTTTTGTTTTTAATAGTAACGGTGAGCCTGCCTCATGGATTAATCAGGAAGGACATTTTTATTCTTGTAAGTTATTGTTATTAATAGTAACTGTGAGCATGCCTCATGGAATAGACAAACATACTTTTTAAACAAAAAATACTTGGTTCTGCAATGAACATCATACTTTTTTAGAAAAATCAGAATAAAATATATATTTTTTTTTTTTTTTGTGCAGGTGCCAAATGTACTCGGGTGTCTGTTTGGGGCAATGCAGCTGACTTTGTACGCAGTTTACTGCAAAAATAAAGGTGAAACCAAGAAACCAGCCATGGATAGATCCTTGGAGAACAGAGGACCGTCTCTTGATCTTCAGAAGCTACCAAATTAGGAAGTTCACAACTTAGCAAAAGCCATATTCTCTAACCAATTAAGATTATTCTCCTTGTGTTCATCTTTAATCTGTGTCTTCTCATTTCTGCCCTAAAGCTCTCTCTAACTTCAATAGCAGCTTGTATCATGTATTATACTTCTAGTGTTGTTTCTGGTTTTGTTTATTGTTGTTTTATGGTAAAACCCAGGTTTTAAGTATCTTTTTTTTTAATAAATAATTTAGTGGCATTCATATCTCTCCCTCCATCCCAACAAGGCAACAATGCTACCAGTTCAGCTCAATTTTTTGTCAAATTTTTTAAACTCCTTAGTAGTATTTTCACAATGGGAAAACATCTGTTAGATAGGTCTACAAGTTAGTCCTTCACAAAGTATGTATACTTTCATTAAAAAAATCATATTAAAAAATTTAATGTAAATAAAAGTATGTCCTTTTAATAAGTGTAAAATCTACAGTGTGGTGGCAAGTCAATGGTTAGATTGTCACACAACATTTGAGCATGTTGTATTCTATGAAAAAAGATAGGTTTTATGTAGGGTTGGTCTAATCATGAGAACTAATATACATTTTTCATAAATATGCTTAATTTCATTAGAAAAATATAAATATTTTAAAATCAAAATATAAACTATAAAAAAATGAAAGGAACTTAACACTATAGTCCTAGGGTTCGTTTCAACTTGAAAAGACAGGTAACAGAAAAAGTCCCGTATGGTATCTACTTTTATTTGGTAATACCAAAATAACTGCAGGTAATGAAACATCACATATTTCAGCAGCTAAAAGTGGCAAAAGAAGGAACAAACATCAAGACATTCAACACCAAACAGCAACACCAATAACCCAAAGAACAGTAAATTCCGGGCATAAAAGCACTCGAAGAGAAGCGAATTAAGGGCAACGCAACACCAAACAGTAAACTCCTGGCGTAAAATCACATCACCAGCAGAAAAATAGATAAAAAGGCCAACCAAAAAAAAAGGGGGAAAAAGGAAAACAAACAAAAGAAGAAAAAAGGGAAACCTACAAAAAGAGCAGCAACATAGTGTAGATTAGCAGAAAAAGATGGCGATGGTGCTTGCAAAAGCTTGAGTATGGAGTGAAATCATAAACCTAAACTCAAGTGTTTTTAGCCCAGTAAATGCATAGTTAACATTTATGTCGAAATAGTAACAACTTAACTGGTTTTCGGCGAATGTAAATAGTTTGGTTGGTTCGGTTTTTTCGCCATCTGTAAGGTTCTATTTTGTTGGTCTTTTTGGTGAAACTTGCCACCCCAACACTTATTAATATTGTCTTGACAATGTAACACAACACTTCCATCACATTATCCTACTAAACTACAGACGATGCCCATTATAAACATTTGCCTCATTTGCCTTCAATAGAAGTATGGTTTTCACACGACTCGTTTAGTAGTTTATGCTCTGGTGGCCCCACTGCATCTTCATGAACTGGAGTTAAAAAAGAAAAAAAAGTGTCGAGTTTCTTCAAACTACTTGCAGCTGTATTGCACCATCCTAAAAATCATCTTAATGGAACAGAAAAAAGAGGATGGAGATGACAATAATCAGTGCCCAAAAACCAACTCCTTGAAAGAAGCAAACGGTGACCCGAGGCCATGGGCTTGTGAATCTCTCCAAAACGTCAACCCTGAGTCAAGATGGATTACGCCGAATTATATGTAATTCTTACACAGTTGGGCCCAAAATAAGTAATACGAAGATTATTAATGGAGTAATAATAAACGTATCAAAAAAGTTAGAAATAAAGACCCGTAAGGTTCACTCTAGCTGCTAATATTACACCATATCTTAGAAAATTGCAAATAGTAATGCCACTTGAAATTTGTTTCTATTTCTAAATGTTGCTGCAAAAACCAAATATAAACACCAACAGCTGTATGTAATATACTAACAGGGTATCATCTCTTTTATTCTTCCTCATCAAGCATATGGATCAAGTATGCCTATGGTTAATTCCCATATTCAGTTGTGTAATCTTTTACAGTTTTACTAGCCCATAGGTATACAGAAACAGAATATTACTTAAAAGAATCAATGGGAACTATTGAACGCACCTATCCAGGCAGCAAAACCGAGGGTCGTAACCAAGAAAAATTCCCTGCTGATACTATTGAGGCTGAAAGTCACAATAAAATTTAAGTCAACCATTGTAACTTGTAAAACATCTGCCACAGTTATTGGGTTTAAAAAAATTATTATGACCAAATTACCAGTACAAGCATATCAGGTTTCCCCATCCGTAAATGACAGATCCCCAGCTTGTACCCATAAACCTGCATGTAGAATTGTAGATTATAGTTCACTTTTCCTTTCAAATTCAATTATTTAGGTCAAAGACTATCATGGGTATTTTCACTAAACAGACATAAGCTAATTTATTACGACTCAAATGCAATAAATATAAGCATATTGGTGTTCTCTTTAGTTCGAAAAGGGGGAAAAGCAGAGGAAAATTAGATTTTCTATGTTTATTTGAAGGAATATTACTTTGATAAATGGCAGAGAACAGAAAAGCAATACATACCACATAAGATCACGAATAAATAGAGCACGTGGAATCAGAAGCCCGTTGCCTAACATAGCCAGCAACATTGAGATAGCTGACAAACCTTTAATGTTTTCAGGATTCAGAAGATTGGTCCACTGAAAACAAAGAATACTCTCCATTATGCGAAACTCTCGACAACCATCAACATTAAGACATTCTGTAAATAAGAAAAAAAAAACCATTTGTGCAACAGCCATCCACATGAAAAGAAGAGTAGCCGTCCATCCAGATGCTGATTCAAGAAACTTGGCGCCTTTATCAGGTAGCTTTCCCATGCGAGCCTAGTTGGGGGGGAAGAAAAAGGAAAAGATAAATGCAAGGTCACAGTTTTAGACCATCACAAAGCCAGAACAATTAATCTAATTAATTAAATGCCCATCTTCAGTGAAGCAGAAAGTCTTTCCAACTATTTCCACAAATAAAATGTAACTAATATCATGCAAGATATATAGATTCAAAAGAATAAATATACACATGTATAATATGTACCTAATTGATGATCGTGCAATATTTATTTATGTCTGCCTCATCATTTTAATCGTACAATGTGATTTTCGATCCGGTCACTCAACTCAACATCTGGCAATAGCATACTCACCATTATAACAGCAAGAACTGCACAAATGAAGATGATAATCCCAGGCAAGGCAGTATTTGGGAGATAAGGGATGAAAGTCGACCACATGACCTTCACAAATCATGATTCGCAGAANAAAAAAAAAAAAAAAAAAAAAGGGTCAATATCACTAAGCTTAAATATGCAACTGGGCCAGCTAACTACTTACAATTACATATACAATATTTTCACCTGAGGAAGTGTGGATAGCCCTGCCACAGTAACAAAGTCTTCCCAAAAGCGCCACATCCCCGAGTTAAGAAAATCAAAATATTTCATAAAATTCAAAACGAGACCGGTTGCCACCACTGTTGATACGACAATAAATTGAGGTAGGGGCATAGCTTCCCCCATGGCCAGCTGCAACATCACTATATATGTGGATATGACTCCCAATGTTTGCACGATCACAGCCTCGGTTTCCTTCTTTTGTATGAAGTATGAGACTAGAGAAAGATTACCGAGCAATCCTGTAAGCATACCCTATACATAAGAGGGACAAATGGTGACACTTTAGAATTTTTTTCTACCAACTACAGGGATTGTTTTTCAAACAACATCTATGAAAGTGATATTAAACTTCAGGCTCACAAAATATAATTGGGGGGGATGGAATAAAATTTTCGAATGCCAAACTTTCGCTTCTGATTCTTATGATTTAATAAAAATCAAAAGAAGTTGGGAGAAGGCCNACACCCATTTTTCAATTATATACAAAATTTCCAGTTCTACCATGGCAAATTACTTTAAAAAAGAAAACTATTGAAAAAACAATCCTTAAATACTACATAAAGAAAACAACATAGGGGCCTGAAAATCTATTACCAGCCAAGGGACAGCGAAAAGTGCAGATCTGTTCCCTGAGATAAGGTTCTGTGCATTGAGTATAATTTGAGGAAGCTGTAATAACAGAAACGGTAGATTTGCTGCCCCAGCAAACTTTGCTGTCATTGAATCCCATTGCTCGAAGGTCTTATCACTTTTCAGTTTCTCTGGTTCCTACATTATAATTTATTCATTAGTCAATAATAGCAGTTGCAATACGGGTATAATCTTAAACTCTCAAAGAGCAAATATAAGGTACATATGAAGTTCATGTTCCATTTCAATGTCGCGTTTAAATTCCAAACTGTAAAATACCTCACTTCCGTTGCAAGAAGAAGGAAAAAAAGAAAAAATTACCTCACTGGTCAGATGAGCATCTTCTGAGCTAGAAGACAAAACTGGTTTGAACCTATGCACTAATTGGCGAGAAAATGGCGCATTGTTCAAGTAAACTTCATCTATGGTTCTTTGCCTCAACTGTGTCCGGTGACATGAAGCCGACACTAAACTTTGTGCGGCACAAGGAAAAGAACATCCACTTAACGGTCGACGAGCGTGCAAGGCTTGACCAGATAGCAACAACGAACTTGCCATTGATTAACTAACAAAAGCTATGCACTCAAACAATCCTCCGAAATAATGATCAAGATATTAGGTCCCAAGAATTCTGTCACATGGTAATTTCAACCGGGCATAATCAAGCCCACGATTTTCGAAACTAAGCATAAAAGAACCATGAAATAAAAATATCACCATTCGAATTATAAAACTTGGCCCTGCGCTCTAACTTTGATGTTAGTTCACTTTTGAAAACTGAAATCATCATCAAATTCATTCCCATTATACCCCTATATAAGGTATCCACTAAGATTTTCGTTTTCTTTTGAAAGAACTACTTGAAAGCTTTTCTGGGCATTTGAACAAACACATCAACTGCATCAAGGGAGTTAAAAAAAAAATCGAAACTTACCAGTAAATGAAGCAGACACACGATCAGCTGGTACTCGGAGAAATGTATGTGTTAATTTACCAAATTCTTAATTTATATATCAAAACTCAGTACATTATGGTCATGTGGGGTAGTTTTCGAGATATCGTCGATAATTACTTCGGTGACGGTGGGACTTGGGAGACGGCACTGGACGGTGCACCGTAAATTAATCGACTTTTTGGAGAAACAAAAGGTCTATAATGCAAGAAATATTGTTGTACGTAAACAGAACAAATAAGAAAAATGGGAAAATAATCTCATTGGTGGAATTCGGATTCATGAGATATTATGGATTTTCATCTTTTTGCGATTTGCTTTTGATATTTTTTTCAAATACCCGAATTTTATGCTTACGTATGTCGGTCTTGGATCCTTGTAAAAAGTCCCTTTAGTTACTTTAGGAGTTGAACCGTGGAACGTGTCATGCTGCCAGTTGTACCGTCCTCCTTATACCCCAGGGTTTCCAATTATACCGTCCTCCTTATACCCTACGGTGCACTGGAATGTGTCATGCTGCCAGTTGTAAAAAGTCCTTGTAAAATTCGAATTCATGAGATATTATGGATTTTCATCTTTTTGAACTTTACTTTTGATATTTTTTTCAAATACCCGAATTTTATGCTTACGTATGTCGTTCTTGGATCCTTGTAAAAAGTCCCTTTAGTTACTTTAGGAGTTGAACCATGGAACGTGTCATGCTGCCAGTTGTACCGTCCTCCTTATACCCTAGGGTTTCCAATTATACCGTCCTCTTTATATCCTAGGGTTTCAGAAAGTCTAATGTTACAGAGGTGATTACCGATCTGTTCGCTCACCTCCAAAGAAGAAAAAGCTGACAAGTCTTTAGACATGTTCATTTTACAAATTCCAATACCTTTATAGAGTGACAACTCTTTTTTCTCTGTCCTTTTAAAATCCCCAATTCTCCTTTGTGCCCTAGCAGCTCCTCATCCTCTTTGAGTGCGCCTCTCCATCGGCGACCCTAGGTCTTGCAATCCCGACGAGCATCTGGCTCCCCCTGGGCTTGGCGGTGCGGCTATAGCGTTCTTTCGTCTCCTTTTCTCCAAAGTGGGCGTCTCTCTTCCTGGGTGCCATGGCGGACGAGCAGCGACGGGATGCGTCGGCGGTTGCATTCCGGTGGACGTCTCGGTAGCGGCGGTTTAGCCTTGGTTCCCTTCTCCGTCGGCCTTTCCTGGTGTTGGGACGGTTCAGTCCTCCGACGGCGGTTGTGGGTTTGAGCGGCGGCTTCGGTGTTTGCGTGGGGGGTGGGGGGTGGGGGTGTTGTGGAGTGGACCAGCCTGGGCGTTTCTGTGGAGTTCTGAGAAGGGTTGTAGGAGCTGCATTCTGGTTTTAGTTAGCCCATTAGGAGAGTTTTTGGTTCCGTTGTGTTTGGGTTGTAGTTCTCGTGACGTTTGGATGTTAGCATGGATGTTTAGGCGCTAGGTATTCTCGTCTGGTGGGGAGGGTTGTAGTTTAGGTTGTGTTTGTGTTTAGCTGTTTTCTTGTTCTGTCTGTGTGTGCTTAGTTTCCTTGTTTAGTTGTGTTTTTTGGTCTGTTGTGTTGTTTTTTTGTCTGTTGTGTTTTATTCTCCTGTTGGGAGTCTTNGAATCAATAAATGGGGATCTTATACCCACTGTTGTATGAAATTCTCGGATAAATGTAGGATGAACCACAAATTATGTGATAATTTAGAAACAGAGGATGAGAAGGAAAACTCAATTTATCAGTACCGAGGCGTCATCAATTCATCCACGTTCTTGAAAAGAAAGCCAAAAAAGACATTTACAATCAATAGGCAGATGACCAATTTAACAATTAAAAGTGATGATAATTTATAAGTTAATAACTAATCTAATGTACTCGAACACAACAAATTCTAAAGATGAACAAGTGAAAGATGAGAATCTGCTGTCAAACTCCAATCACACTTGCTGTTAAGGGGCTAAAGCCCTAAACACTATCTTACTCGAAAACCGGGGAAAGAAGTCAACTAGTAGAAATGTGAAACATAATTGCAAGATTACACACTTCACAATGATGAAAATACAGGGAAAGCAATTGTGAATCAAGGATCTGTCTTTTGAGAACGCTCCACATATGCCTGCAAGAAATAACACAGATCAATACCGGGGCAAACAAAAGAACAATGGATAATTACCCACACTGCCATGCTTAATCACGAACACACTCAATCAATCAGTTATAATGGGGTATTCATAATTTCAGAATATAGCTCAAATTCTTTTAAACCAGAGGCAACTAAAATTTACCTGAACAAGTTTGACGATTTTGGGTTTTGAAAACGACAGGTACTGATCGACTTTATCCTGTGTCTTGGGGATGTGATCGGGTTGAACTGTGCTGGTCACTTTATCGATCACTTTTTTCACAATGGTCTTGTGAACTTCTCTACTCAGTCGGCCTTCTTTCCATGTGGGCTTCAAGATGTCCTTCACAAACTCTATTAGACCATTTTTAAACAAGCGCATTGCTTTCTCATCCTTGCTTGCAACTTTCACTTCAGCTTTTTTCTCGTTCTCGACTCCCTTGTTCTCCTCATCAACAGCTTTATAACCTTCATCAGCTCCTAGGTTCACGAGTGGTGCCTCTTGCTTATGTTTTGAATTTTCAGAATCATCCACTTCTGGATTATCCAGGCCTTTAACAATTGTGGACAGTGGAGATGATTGTTTCACCTGCATTTGATTGTATTGTTCGGTACAAATTCCATGCTCGCTGGCAACAGTGTCTTTCTCCACGGTAGTAATTGGGTCATGAGGAAATCCTGGAATAGTTACCTGTAGATGAAGAATATAAAATAGGAGAGCTGGTGAATTGAGCTGTTTGTTAACAAAATGGATTAATTGTAAAAACCACACGAGGTTCAGCCTAGTTAAATGAGAAGAAAATTTGGTATTGTACAAACAGAAATAACTATTTTTTTTTTTTTTTTTGNGTTCTACACATGCATCCTCAAGAGGGGGATTTGTCAGGAATATAAATGGTCAAGGGGGTAGTGTAGTGCATGCTCAAGGCATCATTGGTGATTCTCAAAGATTACTGGATTTTCTTTAGAAAGTTTTGCTAATTCTCATGGGTTGATTAGTCATATCACTGCCGAACAAAAGAAAAGATTGCGAAACCTTTGATTCTAACAGCCCCGTTAATATTTGAACAGCTCGCTGATGGTTCGGAATCTGAGACTGCAAGTCCAAATGAGCTTCTGATTGTGTCTCGAGAGAATGATCCTTCACCTGAGAATCCAAATCCAAACGAGCTCCTAATTGTGTCTTGGGTAGATGGTTCTTCACCTGAGAATGCAAATCCAAATGAGCTCCAGGTGTCTCGAGATGATGGTTCTTCACCTGAGAATGCAAGTCCAAAGAAGCCCCTGATTGCGTCTCGAACTGATGGTTCGGCGCCTGAGATTGCAAATCCAAATAAGCTCCTGAATTTGTCTCAGGTAGATGGTTCTTCACCTGAGAATGCAAATCCAAATGAGCTCCTGGTATCTCGGGATGTTGGTTCACCCGAGAATCCAAATCCAAATGAGCCCCTGATTGTGTCCCGAGCTGATGGTTTGGCACCTGAGAACGCAAATCCAAATTAACACCTGATTGTGTCTTGGGCTGATGGTTCGGAACCTGAGAATGTAAATCCAAATGAGCTTCTGCTTGTGTCTCGAGTGCATCCAGGCCACCACTAAGCATGTTCTGCCAGACATCAGTTGCATTTGAAACAGGTAACTGCCCAGGTACTAATAAATGTTCACTGCTTTGATTTTGTCCTGGAAAAGGAAATGGGTGTATGGGATTGCTCGAATTTTTAACCTCATCAAGAACATCAGACCTAAATGAAGTCGTCACACCATTTTCTACTATCTCATGGTCAAGCAATGTATGTTGTTCTTCAACACTCACATTTTCCACTTCAGTTTGCTGTGGGAAACCATGCAACACACTAGCGTTTTCCTGTTTGTTAGACATATTCTCCTTATCAATAGATCCAGTCATGCCTATGTCTCCCAATTCTCGTGTTCTCCAACTTGCTTCCTCGTTTTCCACACGAGGACACAATCTAGTATCATACCTCGAATTACTGTTGTCGCCTGGATTGCCTGTATCGGCAGTGTCATTTGACACAGGCTGGTGAGAAAATCTGCAAGAATCACCCCATTTACACAAACCTTTCATGAAGTCCCTGCAAGGAACAGCATTTCTACTTTTCTTCCAAAAATGCTCTCCGTCTCCATGATAATGACTGGGAACATCATCCCGTAAATCAGAACCAGCGAATTTGCTGTAAGAATCTTTAGAAGTATGCCCACGACTAGTATTTCTAGAGTGATCAAATCGGCATTGGCTACCTTTCCTGCACCTACCAGCAGAAAAATCACGACAGATTTGAAATTGTCTATCAGGTTCACTTCTTTGGTCACTCCATTTATGAGATTGATTTTTATAATCTTGTCTTGGACTACCACTTCTGGCCCGACCTCTTGGACTTCTGCTTCGGCTTCGACTCCTGCTCCTGTCTTTTCTCGGGTACCTGTGATGAGAGAATAATTAAACATCAGGTCTACAATCAACAAAGAATTCATAGGTTGCAACATGAACTTTTTCCTAAAGTGGATTGTATTTCCTGTTTTAGCATGCCAATATAAGATTTAAAAAAATGAAACCACTTTTGTCAAGGACCAATTGGTAAGAGTGTACAAAGCTAAATTTGGTAACAGGTAGGAAAAAAATGACTTTTCTCATTGCCGTCAAATTAAAAAGACAAGCACATAAACACCTGAAAAAAATCCATTTCTTGTCCAGAAAACACAAAACTATCATGAACAGCAAAAATTTTAAACATTACAGCTTAAAATTTCCAACTGTTCATGCTATGTCATTCGGTTTCAAATGTAACAGATTAGAAGACAGACCTGTGGAAATCGCTTCTGTCGTCTTCAGGGTAGTGCTTATATTTGCGCCGTTCAATTCCATCAAACCCAGGAGATATGTTCGGGTAATACCTGTTTTCTTCGTTTAACTCGCGGGACGACCGTCCAGGACGGTCTCTGGATTTTGGCTCCATAAATTCTCTGGACCCACGAAACACATGATCCCGTCCTCTGTTATTAATCGAATGGCGCTCCTTGCTGGCCCAAGAATTATGATCACCTGGATGAGAAAATTGTCTATTCTCATCTTCCATAGGCCACATAGATTTGCGTTTTCTCCTTTCACCCATAACGTAATATGTGCCAATGAAAAGCCTGAGCAATTCTGGGTGGTGCAGCCAGATCTGTTCAGTTAACAATACTGTTCACTTTTTTTCTACCTTTCAATAAAGACATATGCATAAACAGGATAACATATATCACTCCAGATAAGAAAATATAATATCTCATATTTTTTGGGTCACCATGCATGCTTGTACTGTCTCCTCCAAAAATATAGGGTAAGACAAGTAAAACCACAATGCATCAAATCAACGCAGTTAATGTCAATTCTAGGGTACTTAGCCTCAAGGTAAAAGCTAGGTATCTCACAAGAAAAGTTGAGTTATGCATGAAATCAACGTTATGTAGCAATTAACTTGTCAACATGTTTGTATCAGACGTTCTTTTTGAGGACAAACAAGATATTCCTAAATGCTGCTGGTTTATGGATACTGAAGAAAAATGCTTTTTTTTTTGTCAGATGATGCCAAGTGGCTTGAGGGAATTAACGTGCAAGTTACACTTACTTACTGGATTAATGCAAAGTTCTTGCACATTAAACAACACAATCACCTAAGACCACGAAACTTTAAACACAGAAGAAAAATACTACTGAAGCAAGCAAATCTGGCTATTAGAGCAACTGTTACCCAATTTCAAATCTGGCTCAGAATTATTCAACACTAGCTTTTTAACTCCTGCACATCAAACAACCAACGCTTTTAGCTCAATTTCAAAAATAAATAGGATTCAAAGCCAATTCAACTTCGAAATCACAAAGGCCACCAAAATTGGACAAACGCACACACACAGAGTGAAGAATTCAACGAACCACAATCGATGTGAAAAAGAAAAAACTGACCTTGAAACCAATTAGCTAATCTATCAACCGCGAACGAGCTTACATCTTCCAGATGCGGGAGCGGGCGGCGGCGACGGAAGCTGAAAGCTGCGCGTGGAGTTGGTGAGAGCCTAATTGAGAAGATTGAGAGCACAGATGAGTGGGGATTAGACGATTGGAAGGGAAAATGTGGAATTGAGCTCAGAGCTCAAAAAGCCCTAATTTTTAGATTCGACCACCGCGCATTGCACAGCAGTACCATTACACTAAACAGATGAAGTCATCAAACGATTTTTGTTTCTCACTGTCTCGCTCTTCTCTTTGTTTTATATTTATATATTATTTATTTTTAAAATTTATTCAATTTATTTATTTTTTCTCACTATATCTCATCGCATGTTTGTGAAAAGATCATTTTGTTGACAAAACATTATTTGTTATGGTGGTTACATATATATCAAAACATGTAATAACAATAATAGTAATCTAACATTAATATAAAAATATGTCACATTTTTATTCATTTATTTCTCATTTCCTTTCATTATGTACTTTATGTATTTTATATTAAATAATAAGAAAAAATTATTTGTGCACCGACTTCTTTATGTTGTTTGTTTTTGTTTGTAGATATCAAGAAGGTGACTTATGAAGAATGAAGAAAACGGAACCAAAAATCAAAGTCGATGCATATTATAGTTACATTCTCTTTAAGACGAAATTGTCCCGTAAAGTACCAACGACTAATGGCAAAACGCCTTAAGGTACAATGACTTTTGACTTGTATATAGTGGTACTTCAATTGATTAAAGCAAAGAACCTGAAAGCTTAAAATTTATTTGTGCCAACTAACCAAAAACAACAGAGATCTACTGGGTTGTCAAAAGGAAACTTGCCACTGATACTAAGTCCTAGCAAGAAACTAGTAAAAGCCTAAGCCAAACAGAAGAAAGCTAGCTATAGTTGTTAAACTCTATCCAATAAAACAATATTTACAATAAAGTATTTAGCTCTCCAGGAATATTGAAACACCCAGAAGTTCTTCGCCTACCAAATCCACCACAAGAGTTAGGAAGTAAGTTGGATTCTGGCCTCAAGTAAGGCAGGATTGTTCAGGGAGCAAATTCTTGTCCACTAATGCGTCAAGTTATTAGTGTCATGAAGCAGCCCATCCTAGCTTAAAGGAGAGATCTCCCAAATCCTTCTTGCTCAACTACAATAAAAGAAAGATGCTCTGGAGTTTCAGGGGATTCTCTACAAGGTTTGCAGGTAAGATCAACCGCAAGACCTATTTTGAAGATGTTACGGTTGACTGGGATGATGTTTGTCGTGCATTTACATAGAAAGTGCTTTATTTTGCCCTTTATTTTGAGTTCCCAGCTACTTCTCTGACAAGTTTGGCTTCTTATTGCTCTTTACTAGACTCATCAATGTCTACGAATCTCCATTTTCTACAATCTATGTGAGCATAGGTTGAAGCCATTGAGTAGTTCTTTTTCTTCCCACAGTTACATCTAAAGTTTGTCTTCTACTTGTGAGTCAAGGCCTATGATGCTGAAGATTGCTTCTTGTTCCTTTTCAGTAAAACAATCTTCGACGAAGTCTTTGTTCCATAGGGCTGTTTTGACATAGGGTTGCTTGATTTAGGAAGACAAGTTTTCAATTTATTGGTTGAACTTTCGGAAAATGCTACAGCTCCGTTACGGAACAATTTAGTTGGGATTTTTAACTGTTAGATGCATATGCTACATTAATCTACATGTGCATTTAACGGTTAAAAATCCCAATGAAATAGTTAATCTACATGTGCATTTAACGGTTAAAAATCCCAATGAAATAGTTTCATAACGGCACTGTTGACCGCGCGTCGCAACGCGGCAAATTTCAATTTATAAAGTTTTCCTTAACAAACCTCTACTAACTAGTAGTAGTGGCGAGTAAGGGTCGATCCCACGAGGAGTAGGAACTAAATTGTGACAATCTCGTATTAATTGAACTAAATAGGAAAGCAATAAAAGATGGGGGGATTGGTTTTATAAAAATAAAAATATAAATAAGAAAAATAAAATAAAAATCTAATAAAATAAGAGAAGTCCAGTTTTTCGGTTCAGTTATCACCCAATCTAAATCTATCGTTAATTAATTTCGACGCTTTCTTTAAATTGCTAATGAATTACCGACCGTAGCTAACAACAAGCTCTGTTAACCGAATTTTCCCTTACTGAATATTTAATCGAAACAGGCTCTTCGACTAGACCTAACTAGTGGACAACCTAGAATAAGCTCTCTAGATTTAATACACTAGGGGCTCGTTTACTTTGATGGATGGGATTGGACTAAATAATCTGCTTAACTTTACATGTCATCGTTTAGTCCAATGTTTACTTTGAGGGATGGATTTTTGATAAACGAATCCCTTATTTACTTCACTGGATTAAGTGAGGAATAATGCCTGGAAAACCCTAATATACCCTTCTGCATTTCAGCCAAATTAACGCACGGTGACTTGTGAAGAACCCCTCCATTTTTTTGAACATTGACGAGCCTTTCTTCTCAGGAGTGCCGAGCACTAATTCGAAGGAGTGGTGAGGGTAGACGAGACGTTGGACCCGACGACAACCCTCCCCGACCGGAATTCGGCCGTGGACGACATCGACCTCCAAAGAAGGGTGTGATGTGAGGTCCGGGCCCTGTTTTGTGAGTTCACTTTGGATTAGTTTCGATTTTACTAAATGGTGTTCGATTTTACTAAGTTTTGCTTGAGTTTGCCGAAATTACTCAACGAATTTGTTTCAATTGCAATGAATTTTTGACATCCTGGTAATTAGGGTTTTATAATTTTTTCCAATTTGGTATTTTGCCCTTTTCTGTTGTGTGTCGAAATTGTTTGATGCAAACAAATTGAAAAGGATATATGCAGAATTGAGAAGGGAACGTGGGGTTGATGTTTTCTACTATCTGGTTCAGAAAACGATATTGATGTTTTCTACTATCTGGTTCAGCATAGTCGAAACCTATGTATTTGTGGTTCTTTTTGTCATGATTTCTTTAGATCTTGTATAATTGTTTTTTTAGCATTTGTACTTCACTGTATAGCATGAAAGTTCATTCGTATGTTTACATTACATATGTAAATGTATGCAGAATTGAGGATACGAAAGCGAGATTGAACTTTTGTACTATCTGGTTCACAAAATGAGATTGATGTTTTGTACTATCTGTTTCAGCATAGTCGAAATTTACATTTAGCCTATGTATTTTTGGTTCTTTGTGTCATGATTTCTTTAGATCTTGTATAGATGTTTTTTGAGCATTTGTACATCACTGTATGCATGAAAGTTCACTCATATGTTTACGTTACATATGTAAATGTGTTGTTGTTCTTGTTCATGAGAAGAAGTGACGTAGAGCCCCATAAATTGAGCTACCTAAACCGCAAGGCTCAAATAAAAGTGAAGTCTCAGGACTGAGGTTGTAGTTTATTCTTTTGTGCACTGTCCTTGTGTTTGAGAGGCAAGAAATCAAACTCACACAGGTACATGTTCCTTATCAACCTGTTATGTACTAGAAATTTGGCAATGTATTCTCTTGTGTAAATTTGGCATCGTCGGAAACTTTACGTGGGACCACATAAATATCAATCGTCATGTTTTTGTCCCTCAAATAACAACACTTCAAGAATTTAACCAGAAATCATTAATCCAAGTCATCATAACTAGCACAATAATTCCAAAAGACTCTCAAATCATCATCGCAAAATTCCACATACAAGTAAGCTCATACCCAAACAAATCAAAAGAGTATATAAAATAATCCACCACATAAACCTTTCACACTAACACACCTCCCCAAACTTAGAGTTTGCACAAATAAAAGAGCACAAAAAGAGGTAAAAGGAAAGAGTTCACCTTATCCAAGAGAAGAAGTCGCGTTGCACACCATTGGGTTGCCTCCCAACAAGCGCCTTTTTTTATTGTCGTTGGCTCGACTTATTGCTCCGCTTCCTTCAAGCGGTCCATGGCGGCTTCATAGGTGGCCTCAAAGGAGGCATAAACCTTGCAGCTCCATGCTTATTAAAGATCCCCTCGTCCGGTGTCGGGTGCTTGACCGGATCTTTTCGTCTAGGTGGGAGTACATCATGGTAAAAGATTAGCCCGGGCTCATGGATAAGAGGAGAAATCTCTACTACCTCCAGGATGTAAGGCTCTTGATTTTCAACATGCTCGGTGACGGGTCGCTTGACCTCGACTAGAAAAGAAGAAATTTCAGTCATGTTCGGGGCAATTGTCGGAGCTTTTACGTCATTTTCACTTTCGGACGGGCTGTTATCGGGGCCCCCGATAGCAGTAGAACATGCTGCCAGGCTGTTATCACGGGGGGTAATATCAGCGGAAAGTTGCTCCTCATCGCCTTCTTCTTCATTCTTTTCGTCGCTCGGATCATCATTCAGCTAAAAAATATGACTTTCCAGCACCTCATACTCCGTCTCGCTGCTCAGCTGAAGGTCTCCCACATCACTTTGGCTCAAGTCGGCTTGAGATAACAGCCGACTCTTGGCTCGGGCATCCAATTCGCTCAATAGATCACCAATCGTTTTGCTACTAGCCATCAAGGAATTTTGACACTCTTCAAGTAACTTCATCAACGATGGACTAGTCTCTTGTTCAAGCGAAGGTTCTGAAAAATATTGTGAGCCTCTATAGTAGAATTGGGATTCGTCGTGCTCATAAGTAGGCTCATACGGTCGAGAATATCGTGTATTTTCATCGAATGAATTTCCACGATCTCCCCAACCGTAATGGTCCCTATCGAAATTTGAATACGCCCAATCGTTTTGTCGATACCAATCTCTCTCGGTAGCTCTACGTGCACCATACCTCTCGATCAAAAGTGCACAATCATTGGTGACGTGTCTTGTGGTATGACACAGACGACATGGTTTCCTTAGAACTTGACGAACACTCTCAATGGCTTCTTGGATCATAGCCGACATCCTAGCCTCACGATGTTGGTCTCTTATTTCCCTCTTTTTCATTTCATAATATGAATCGTAAGCGTAAGCACATTCCGGGCTCCAATACACATCCATTTATAATAAGCACCACCTGTAAAGGAAAACAAAAGGAAAAAGAAAAATAGGGGGATTAAAAGAGTCAAAGAAAAAAATAATAATAATAAAATAAATACTAATCTAACTACCTAATTCAATTAACACTAAAACAATCACAACTCAATTTCGCCACTCCCCGGCAACGGCGCCAAAATTTGACCGCGCGTCGCAACGCGGCAAATTTCAATTTATAAAGTTTTCCTTAACAAACCTCTACTAACTAGTAGTAGTGGCGAGTAAGGGTCGATCCCACGAGGAGTAGGAACTAAATTGTGACAATCTCGTATTAATTGAACTAAATAGGAAAGCAATAAAAGATGGGGGGATTGGTTTTATAAAAATAAAAATATAAATAAGAAAAATAAAATAAAAATCTAATAAAATAAGAGAAGTCCAGTTTTTCGGTTCAGTTATCACCCAATCTAAATCTATCGTTAATTAATTTCGACGCTTTCTTTAAATTGCTAATGAATTACCGACCGTAGCTAACAACAAGCTCTGTTAACCGAATTTTCCCTTACTGAATATTTAATCGAAACAGGCTCTTCGACTAGACCTAACTAGTGGACAACCTAGAATAAGCTCTCTAGATTTAATACACTAGGGGCTCGTTTACTTTGATGGATGGGATTGGACTAAATAATCTGCTTAACTTTACATGTCATCGTTTAGTCCAATGTTTACTTTGAGGGATGGATTTTTGATAAACGAATCCCTTATTTACTTCACTGGATTAAGTGAGGAATAATGCCTGGAAAACCCTAATATACCCTTCTGCATTTCAGCCAAATTAACGCACGGTGACTTGTGAAGAACCCCTCCATTTTTTTGAACATTGACGAGCCTTTCTTCTCAGGAGTGCCGAGCACTAATTCGAAGGAGTGGTGAGGGTAGACGAGACGTTGGACCCGACGACAACCCTCCCCGACCGGAATTCGGCCGTGGACGACATCGACCTCCAAAGAAGGGTGTGATGTGAGGTCCGGGCCCTGTTTTGTGAGTTCACTTTGGATTAGTTTCGATTTTACTAAATGGTGTTCGATTTTACTAAGTTTTGCTTGAGTTTGCCGAAATTACTCAACGAATTTGTTTCAATTGCAATGAATTTTTGACATCCTGGTAATTAGGGTTTTATAATTTTTTCCAATTTGGTATTTTGCCCTTTTCTGTTGTGTGTCGAAATTGTTTGATGCAAACAAATTGAAAAGGATATATGCAGAATTGAGAAGGGAACGTGGGGTTGATGTTTTCTACTATCTGGTTCAGAAAACGATATTGATGTTTTCTACTATCTGGTTCAGCATAGTCGAAACCTATGTATTTGTGGTTCTTTTTGTCATGATTTCTTTAGATCTTGTATAATTGTTTTTTTAGCATTTGTACTTCACTGTATAGCATGAAAGTTCATTCGTATGTTTACATTACATATGTAAATGTATGCAGAATTGAGGATACGAAAGCGAGATTGAACTTTTGTACTATCTGGTTCACAAAATGAGATTGATGTTTTGTACTATCTGTTTCAGCATAGTCGAAATTTACATTTAGCCTATGTATTTTTGGTTCTTTGTGTCATGATTTCTTTAGATCTTGTATAGATGTTTTTTGAGCATTTGTACATCACTGTATGCATGAAAGTTCACTCATATGTTTACGTTACATATGTAAATGTGTTGTTGTTCTTGTTCATGAGAAGAAGTGACGTAGAGCCCCATAAATTGAGCTACCTAAACCGCAAGGCTCAAATAAAAGTGAAGTCTCAGGACTGAGGTTGTAGTTTATTCTTTTGTGCACTGTCCTTGTGTTTGAGAGGCAAGAAATCAAACTCACACAGGTACATGTTCCTTATCAACCTGTTATGTACTAGAAATTTGGCAATGTATTCTCTTGTGTAAATTTGGCATCGTCGGAAACTTTACGTGGGACGCATAAAACACATGTGGAAGTCCAGACAAAAAAAACGAGAAAGCTAAAATGCCACATCATCTTGTATATGTGTATAAAAATCCGATTTATGCCATAAAATCAACCAAATTAATGAAAAAATCCCATTTCGACTAAGAACCCTGGTTTCTCCTTTCTCATTTTTATAGAACGCGTACTGATACTTTTCAAAGAATTCGGGTACTCTGAAGATGTCGTGTGGATCGTGTGGTAGTGGATGTCGTGGTTCAACTTCAAATTTGGACCCTCCAGTTGACGGGCTTCAGTGTTTGCACAGAGTCCAACCAGATTTCTTGACCTCGAACACCGATACGAATCCGGCTAGGAGGTATCATCGATGTCCTCACAGAAATACTGTAAGCATTTAATCCCTCACTACAAATTAGATTGTGCTGCAAAATTGAAATTGAGAAATGAATTTAAACATTGTTATTGACATATTGCAGGCACGTGATTGTAAGTTTTTCGTTTGGCATGACCCTGAATTACCACCATTTCAGAAAGCCTGCTTTTTGAAGTTGAAGAATCAAAAAAATTTGTTGGAGGAACAATTAAAATGCAAGGATATTGTTGAAAAGCAACTCAATGAAAAGCTTCAGATTAAAAAAAACAAGTTGCAGCAGTTGAAGAATAAAATTGAAGAATTAGAGAGGAAAAATCATGACCAGAACAAGAGAATTGAAGAATTGGAGTGGAAAAATCATGACAAGAACAAGGAAATTGAAGAATTGGAGAGGAAAAATCATCAGCAGAACAAGAAATTGAATTTTGAGATGAAGTTCACATTTTGGTTCATTGTTTGCTTTGTTTCACTGTATTTTTTTTTTAAGGTAAGGTTGGATAGAATGAAATATTATGTTGTGCTCCACTGATGTTTTGTACAATAACTGATATTTTTGTCAAACTACTTTTGTGAACCAGCTTTTAAATTGGCAGCACATGTGTTTTTAATTCCAAGGGACAGTATATGACAACTCACTACACATGCTATGACAACTCACTACACATGGGTACAGGTAGCTTATTGCTATTTCTACACATGGTTATGATAACTCACTACACATGCTATGACAAGTACTACACATGCTATGACAACTCACAACCATTGAATGCATGATTGATCTGGTGCACCAAATTTCTCTATTTAAACACCATAACGCATAACAGGTATTCCACAACCGTAGAATGAGGTGATCAAATATTACCGAAGTTATAAAAAACCAAAAAATTTATAAGGCATAAAATTTACGATGTCTCCTGTTTTTGGTTTGGTGCCGGCAGACTAGCTTTACGACCTACATTCGACACCAAAGGAGTTATGTGGTATCCTTATTCCCAAAAGATAATACTGAGTTCATACTTGGTGATACGGGAGCATTCGATTTTTGTAGTTAATCAGGTCAATGGATACTCAAAAAAAGTCATGACCCTAAAACCAATCCACATAGGTGTCGTGTTATGATGAAATAGCATGCGCACAACACTAAATGTACCACTCGAGTCATCTTTTTAGTAAAAAATGTCTGATTTTGGGGGGACAAGCTATGACAAGTCACTACAGTTGTCTATAGGTAGCCTACAACTACTTCTGCAAAGCTGAATTGAATATACAAGACGGACATGAAGACCATAATTTTTGCCTAACACCAGTGAATGCATTATTGCTCTTTGGTGCACGACGTTTTGCTATTTAAACACCATATTGCATAACAAGTATCGCACAACCTAAGCAAGAAATACTCAAATATTACTGAGCTTGTAAAAAAGAAGAGTTTTTCTAAGTCATAAAATTGCGATGGCTCCTGACTTTGGTTTAGTGCAGGGCGACTATTTGTACGACCTACATTGGACACCAAAGTTTGATGAGTTTCTAATCGACCACTTACTCGAAGATAAGTTGTGTGGTATTTTTGTTCCTTTTGCAGATAATAGTGAGTCCATACTTGGAGCTACGCGTGCATTGAATGGGTGGTTTAGCACGAGTTTCACCCAGGAGTACATCGGAACCCGCGTTGGAGTGTTGGCGAAACGACTTGATGTTTTCACAGCGCTGAAATCCAAGGATGGTGTTCAATACGACGCCGTCCATAACAAGTACCAGGCTTCGGGCACCACTTGGGATGAAATGCTAAGGGTGAGTTTAGTCCATTAATGTGTTTTCATAAGTTACACCAACGCTATAGTTGCGAACTAAATCATATTTATTTTGTTCCGTAGTGGGATGAATTTTCACTCGCTTACATGACAGAAGGTGATCCCCAGCATAATAAAATTGTCGAGTTGTTTCACATTGAGCCACCGTACGTAAATCCTTTATTAGAGTACTTTGACAGAAAGGATCGTGGCAAAGTGGTTGAAGTTATCGATGTGGATGAGTACACTGCAACGCGTAGGCCACCGAGTAGGTTAGTGCCGTATCCGGTTCGGACGGACATCCCCCGGAAGAAACAACCACCGCGTCCGGCCTTTTATATGGGTAGTAGTTCGAAGGCCCCAAAACAGAAGCAATCCATACATAGTCAAACCGGGTCAACAGATGGATCCGTCAATCAGCCCACAAATGACAACTCCTATCACGGTGCACCTGAACCGGACGAAAATTCTATATCTACTGCATGTTCAGCCACTCCTATGGACTATGCGCATGATTGGCCGTGGAATTAGCTTTGTCACTATATCCTTTCCTTCTATGTTTGAGAGCATTTCTGGTGGTGTGTCAGTATGTTTGTTGTGGTTGGTTGATTGTTTTATGGTTCCTGGCACTTTGTGTGTTTTGTAGTCGTTCCATTCACAAGTTGTACCCGTTGTTGTTCTAGTCACGAGATGTTTGTAATGTTATTTGTGGTTGGTGGTATGTATTTGGTTTTTTCGGTATTGTACCCGGTAATGTTTCCTTGCCAAGGTTCTTGCCAAGGTGTCCGTAAACAATTTAAATTGTCAAAATGAACCTAAAAATCGGATAACACACAAGTCTTATATAATGCCAATCAAAGATGATATAACCCTACACATGATACAAGTTGTGTCTTAATAAACCTGATAATCATAACAACAAAATGTTCAGATGTTCAATTAACACACAAGTCTAATGTGTGTTCAATTAACATAGAAGTCTTCAAATCGCACAAAAAAAATAAATAAATAAATAAATAAAAAGAAAACACTTACATAATGTTAAACGACAATTACTCATATCCAGAAAGGTGTTCAAACGTTTGTCGGTCACACACACACACATGTCACACACGAATTTCTACCACTCTAAACCGGGGGTAACGAAACGGAATGAGTGTGAAGACCCACTCAGAATCCTCCACAACGTCATTGTCTTCAAAGAATTGGCGCATATCGCCATCTTTCAGCCGCCTCTTACCATGACATCGGTCTATAGGCATCTCGTATTTGTCCCCCTTGAACATAAGCACTGCAAAGTCTATCTGTGGGAGGTGTCCTTCAATGTGTGCGTTCCAGAACTGCATTGGTATCGGCTTCACAAGAAAAAACAAAAAAATAATATTAAATAACATAACATTTTATAAAAAATGGAAGAACAATGTAGACGAAAAAATAGCTTCAAATCATTACATGAATCACTTACCAGCAGTGCCCGCTCCACATGAGTTTTTTTAATTTTGATGCAAAACCGGTGCTGTGGAGGCCTCTCAATGTCATTAGCCGTGTAGACCTTGACATTGAACGTCCTGAAATCATCTCGTTCAAAATAGAGGATATACTCGTTACGTATATCCTCCGATTGAACATAGTATTGCCACCCATTTGCAAAGTGCAAAGTAGTCCTCATGTCACCGTCGTCGTAGGGACTTAGCGGAAGCTTAATGATGTCCATTGGGTAGCGACGGCCTTCAACCGTTATGATTGTAACTGAAAATGGCATCACATGTCTCCCGAAAAATAAATCCGCTTGAGAAATCGCCTATCAAAGTGAAAATATTATTTTTATATAGATTTACTTTGAATTGAATAAAAAAAAAAAAAAAAAAAAAAAAAACCCCATAATATTGTGCTTTAGTATTGCTTGAGTTATAAGTGAGTGTCTTCAACTTACCATGGTGGCCCGGTTTGGCATGTCCATATTTACGTAGAAACACCCCCATGGCGGGTCGTCCCTATATACATGGTGAACCTGCAACGATCGATTATAAAGAAAAGTTACAAGGATAACCAACAATATTAATCAAAATGTCCAACTAGGGTAACCAATATTCAATCATGACCGTGAAATGCAAAAGAAGTGCACCATTACACGAAAATTATTATTTTCAACATCCCAACACAGAAAAGAAATAGTATTTTCACGCAACAAATAATACATAACATTTTGCATAATACATACTTTTGTTTACTCAACAACGACAAAACCACACAATAAAAGTTCTTACACTTCACACATTTAAATGAAACACAACAATTTTCATTTAACAACACTACCCCCGACCATCACGCATGACCTTCACCATCAGCGCCCTCTCGTCGTGCCCCATGCCCATGAACATAGCAAGCTCTCTCGCATTGTTGCACAGACGAAGACATATAATCATTCGCTCCTCACCAGATAGAAAGTGGAAAGCACGAAGAGCATTGTTAACTTCTGTCATCTGGGCCTGTGCCACCGCCGCCTGTGTCGCTTGCTCGTTGGCCATTCTGGTGGCGATTTCAGCCAATCGGCCATCCGTGTTCTACGAGAACGTTTCCATTACATCAATGAAACGTTCTTCCAGCAAGTTAGTTGACCTCCTTTTTGTGCCTCTCGACCTTCCCCCTCTCCTAGTGCTACTCTCAGACGGCGGACCCGACGACTGACCGACATCATTCACCGGGCTACCATCACATGGTGTGGGCTGGGTGGTCTGCGATGGGATGTCATCGCGTTCTTGGTACATCGGGTCCGGCTGGATATCCTGAGCCGCGTCTGCGAACGCCTGGGCATCACTACCAGAGGCTCTGTCTTTCCCGAATATTACCTCCCAATCATCATAGTGGGGGAAAGACTTGTTCCTCAGTCCCTTAGCGTTAGGATCAACCTATTGGTAATATTTTCGGCCGCAACAAATGTAATAAGGGGATATGTAATTTATGTGAAATATGTAGACAATTGAATGTTGGAATTTTAACTACAAACAAACCTTAAGCCAAGCAGCCCACTTCTCGTCATCACATGAGAAGCTTTTCGAAACATCATTCCAACCCATTCCC